GTGTGGGTGGGGCTTGTAGTGGCATGGGTGGGGCCTGCAGTAGTGTGGGTGGGGCTTGTAGTGGCATGGGTAGGGCTTGCAGTAGTGTGGGTGGGGCTTGTAGTGGCATGGGTGGGGCCTGCAGTAGTGTGGGTGGGGCTTGTAGTGGCATGGGTGGGGCCTGCAGTAGTGTGGGTGGGGCTTGTAGTGGCATGGGTGAGACTTGTAGTGTGGGTGGGGCTTGTAGTGGCACGGGAGGGGGCTGCAGTAGTGTGGGTCAGGCTTGTGGTAGTGTGGACAGGGCTTGTGGTTGTCTGTACAGGGCCTATAGTATTGGGGGTAGGAGCTACAGTAGCGAGGGCAGAAAGCATTGTTTCCTTGGTGGGTCTTGTGGTGGTCTGGGCTGGGGTTGTGGCACTGGGGGTAGAGACTGTAGTGGAAGGGGTAGAGACCATGGGCTTGTGGGTGGAACCTGTGGTAGTGTGAGTGGCGCTTGGGGCACTGTGGCTGGGGCTAATGGCATTAGAGGTCGAGCTTGTAGTGGTATGGGTGGAGCCTGGCAGTTCAGAAGAGCTAGCATCTGTGACCTTGTGAACCAAGTCTAGATGTGCAGACAGATCTGGGTCTGTAGATGTGCAGGCAGGGCCTGTTGTACTGAGGGTAGGGCTTGTGGCAGAATGGAGAGGGTCCACAGCAGGAGGGACAGGACCAGGTTGCTCCCCATGGGTGGGACCTGGGTGTGCATGCAGGCTAGGTCCCTGAGCTAGATTTTCTAGACCCAGAGCCTCCACTGAAGCCTCAGCCAAGGCAGCGTCCACACTGGCCTCACTGATATGGCTCAGAGTCCGGCTGTAGGGGGCATGCCCATTGGCCAGGGCTGGGGCTATGGCCCCCTGTTCATCCACAGGCCTAGAGGTGGGGGTCTCAGGCCTACGGAAGGTGACCTGAATGGGCAGAGGCTCAGGCTGCTGCACCAGAGGCCTGGGGGCTGAAGAGTGGCGGGCAGTGCCTGAGAGCTGGGGGCTGGATGAGTCGTCTGAAGATTCAGATGACAGGGACCATGCTGTCCCATTCTCCAGCTCCTCCTGCCGCCTCAGCATATTCTGGGAGAGAGGAAAGGGCGTTTCAGGACCACCCCAGGGAGCCCCTGGGGGATGGTGGGGCCTAAGCCTGGGCTGTGACTCACATAAAAAGCCTGTTCCCGAAGTGAGGGTGTGTCTGGTGGGCTCTGGCTATAGGTGGAGAAGCGCTTGGTGACTGTGGAGGCCTTGTTGACAGTGGAAGCAGTTGAGGGCTGGTCATCCTTGTCAAAGGGGCTGGGGAAGAAAGAGGCTGTAAGCAGGTGCCACGGGTCCCCTGGATCTGTCCCCAAGCCGCTCAGCAACACCAACCTCCATATGACTTCCAAGCTGAGCTTGATGGTGCCGAGGTCATTGATGTCCACAGCCACCACTTGGGGCAGGGCAGCGAACAGGTCCTTGGTCTCACAGGAGACACTGCCTACAACCACATGGTTGGCCAGACCCTTCAGTTCTGTCACCTGTAGCCAGGAATGCATCATGAGGTCACAAGGGTATAGGAGTCATGAGGTTGTGGGAGATCAGAAGTCTGAACGTGCATATATGACAGTCACAGGGTCATGGGACCATGGGAAGGTTGCAGAGATTAGAATTTTCTGAGTGATGGGGGGCCATGGAGGATTAAAGCAGCCTGGAAGCATGGGGATCACAGAAGTCTGAGTTTGTGGGGTCACTGAGGTCATGGGGGTCACAGCTTCATGGAGGTCCAAGAGGTCAAATATTCACAAGATGAGAAGATTATGAGAAAATCACAGCATCACAAAGGTCATGGGGGTCACATATTCACAGGAGTCACAGGATCACGTTGCCCTTTGGGTCCTGGGAAGATACATCACCTTGATGGACAGGAATTCCGTAAGAAGAGGAAGAAAGACGGTTTCTTCACTGTCCCACACCTGCTTTCCACTACCCTCAATTCGGCCCCTTAGTTTCCAGCGCTGCCGTCCATATTTCATGCAGATCTAGGTGAAAAGGCAGGATGAGGCACCCCTTGGTGTTGCGACCCTCCCACTCCAGCCCTGCATATTCTCATACCTCATACTGATCGCCTACACACAGCCTGGCGAAGCCCGCCAGCCCTGGGAATTGGGGGAGAAGAAGGTGAGCCATGTTGAGGGGTCTCAGGCAAACAATTCCCTTTCCCCACCAACAGTCTGCCCTCATCCACTTAGTACCTTTCATCCGGAGATGGAACTCGCCCAGCTGTGCCTCTAGCTCACTCTCCAGCAGACACATGCTCTGAGAGGGGTGGGCAGGGACAAGACCAGGGTCAAGAACCAGTTTCCTCTCACCAGCTCTGCTATACCCTGTGCCTCTGCCTTAAGGACACCTATCTCTCACCTCTGTGTACTCGCGATGCCCTCGAGTGGCTTCGGCCAGGCTGTCTCGGGCCTCGCGGCTCCCCGGGGACCCAGTGCTGTAGGCACGGACCATGTTGTAGGCACCATCCCGGAGACGCCGCTGGACACAGTATGCCTCATAGAGTTCATCAATCTGGGCAGATGAGTGGGGTGGTACTGGAGGACTTGAGACTCATTACGAGGCTTGCTCAGCCAGGGCCTAGCCCTCCCCCTGCCCATCCCCGTGATATCAGTCTCCAGCCCCACTTGTGCGCACATGGGTGTGCTGCCCGTATACCTTGCTGGCGTGGAACTCCAACCGTCGCAGGAAGCGTTCGATGGACTTGACTTGCTGAGGGAGAGGTACGTCAGGAGGGGCCAGGGCCCTTTACCCTCCCCATGAGCTAACCTCTTCCAACACCATTCTCTACACACTCACCTTGTCCAAGTCATACAGGAAGCCCTGCAGGGGAGGATGAGAGGAAGCACTTAGGCAGCACGGGAAGCATTCTAGCAGGGGCACCTACCCACCCAGAGCCAGCTAACTCCCCTCCTGCACAGCCTTTCCCCGCTCTTACCACAGTCCACAGCTGCTCCACTCAAAGCATGGACTGACTCACCTTCCCACATGCCTGGCCTTTGGTGGATGTTAGTGACATAGGGTCTGGTCCTCAAGACCCCTCCTGTATCCCTCCCCTGACCTCTTCCCCTGGGGTCCCTCCCCTGGCCCACTCCCTTTCCTGCACCCACTAGGAAGAGGTTCCCTCTACCAGGGAACTCTCATTCTTCAAGACCCAGCAGAGGTGTTCTCCTCTAGGAAGCTCCGAGTTGTTCCTGGGGAAGAACCAGGACTATCAGTACTGCAGTGTAGTTTCCCGCTGTCCGTGTCTGTGGCAGTCCGACCCACCCCACCGAAAGCTCCCATGGCAGATACTGGGTCCTGGGCAGAAACTGTACACAGCCTGGGTAAGGCGGGGCTAGAAACCTGCCCAGCCCCAGCCTTTCCTGGTATCCTGTTTTCTAGTCACAGTTGGGCTAGGTCACCCTAGCAAACAGCCCTGATGTCACCCGCGGCTGGTGCTACCCAGTCCCCCATACCACAGAGGCAAAGAGCAGTAGTCCAGGCATCCTTGTGAACCCTTTACTCACCAGGCGGGAATTCCTCTTGGACTCCCTAATCTGTCCCTGGAGTTTCTCCTGCTCCTGCTGGTGCACTTCCAAATAGGCCCTGGGGAAAGGGGCGACTACAAGAATTAGCTTACCTTTGCAGACCCAGCAGCCCAGGGTACGGGCAGTGGGAAGAAGATATAAGGCTCGGGAGGGTTCCTACTAGCAGTAAGGGGATGAGGGCTTCGGGAGGGGTCCTGGGATAAGGCAATGGGAGGAGTTCCTTACGTTAGGCCCCGCTTGAGCGCAGTGTACACCAGGTCCAGCCGCTCAGGCTGCGGGACCTTAGGGGCAGGGTGCGCCACGGCAAACATCCTGGATACTCGGGAGAGCGCTGGGGGCTTCCGTGGAGGCCCGGGGGGACTGAAGGCCGGGAAGCTCCTGAAGAAGAGGCTACACTCAGAAAGGTCCAAGAACGAGCCCCAAACCCTCACTGCATACCCAGCTCCAACCCCGTCACACTCTCTTGACCCCATCAGCTTCCCTCGGCTGCGTACCTGGGCCCCCGCTCGTGGCTGCCGAGGACGCCTGCGAAGGACTGGCTCCTATTGACCCGGGCGCTGAGCAGGCGGCGCTGCGGCCGCACCGACAGGGACATCATGGAATGAGTCCGCGCGGGGCTCCCTGGGGGGTGGCGAGGGCGGGTGTCCAGCGCCATTCAGACTTTTGAAGCCCCCTCCGGAGGCCCGGCCTCTGTATCTTAGTCCTGCCGGACACCGCCTGACGCCCGAAGTCCGACAACCCCGCCGGCCCCGTCACTAATGACAGGGCGGCCGGGCGACTCGGCCTCGGACTCAGCGTGGCCTCGGCTCGGCCCCCACTTCCTGCAGAGGTGCAGGCTCCGCCTGTCGCGGGGCAGGAAGGGGGGTCGCGCGGGGACCCTCCCCCGGCTGGGAAGGGGCAGGAAAGGGGCGGGGCGCGTGAAGAATGTGCGGAAGCGCCTGTTTACCCGGGGGGCGGGGCGGGCTCCCCAGCCCTGCCCCTGAACTCACCCCCCACTGCCCGCAACAGTGACCAGGAGCTCCCGCGCCCCCACCCCGCGAGCCCGTGGGAGGTCACCGGGTGGGGTGCACAGCGGAGCTGCCCGACAGGCCCGGCAGGCATGGGGTTGGCTCTAGCAACCCGCCCGCCTCGCGAAAACTGCTCCCCTCCAGCCCCCACCCGCTCGCCGGCGCCGAGACGCCAGAGCCCTCTCAGCGCACAGCGGCCGGGGGATTCCCAGAGTGGGGGGCAGTGCCAAGAAATGCCCTGCCTCCGCCACCTTCCTGTGACTCCGACCTAGAAACTGAGTCACAGATGGACGCCTTCGCCCGCACCCTTAGCGGGAAGGGATCCTCCGCAGACCCCCACCCTGCTCCAACGAAACACGTGCCCCTGGACCCCAGAGTCCGGCCCACACCCCCTGTGGCCAGCCCCAGAGCCTTCGCAGCCCCAGGCTGGGTCCTACCTCTCTTCTTGGCACTCATGGTAGGTCCAGGACAGCTCCCCACCCCCTGCGCTTGCCCTCCCACCCCTGTGTCCCCACAGGCCCCCGGCCACTAGGTGCTGGCCGAGCTGGGCTCCGCGCTCGCTCCCAGCGACTCCGGCTCGGGATTCAGCTCCTCCCGGCGCCGCCCCCCGCCCCCCGCCCAGTTCCTGCCGCCTGACTCAGCCCGCCGGGATGGGGCGGGACCGGCTGGACCAGGGGGGGCACTGGGCCCTGGGACTGGCGGGCCTCTGGGAGGGGTGCCTGGGGGTTCCCTTGGGGGAGGAGACTGAAGTGGGTCCTCTCGCCGGGGGTGGGGGGGTAGGAGTTCGGATAAAGGGAGTTGAGCAGGGAGTTGCGCGAGGTGGCGAACAAGGGGGATAAACGGGATGAAGACCCTGAGCTGGACTGGATGTAGTGAGACTAAGGGGCTCCCACAGCGGCTGCAGAGGCGTCCTGAGAGAGGACTAAGCACAGAGAGGGCTGCGAGTTGGGATTCTGAGTGTGTAAAGACTGGAAAGCCGTGCTGAGGTAGTGGAAGAAAGGACTGTGGGTGTGGAGTGGAGGGTCTATGCCAATGGAGGGCAGAGTCAGGGACTGAGCATGAGGGGTCTGGGAGGCGGAGAAGAGAGAGGGGCTAAAAGTGAGAGGTTAAAAGTATGGGCCTGGACCAAGCTTATATTATGTGTTGCTGCCCCAAGAAGGAAGCAGAGATGGAAGTGGGTACAGAGTGACACAGCCCCCATCCACCGAGGGGGTGATCAATCTAGGGACACTTCCCGGCACCCCCAGGCCCTAGGGAAGAGGATCAGGTCCCACTTCCCAGCCAGGGCCTCCTCTCAAATAGAAGATGCATTCTAGAATGAAGCCCCCTCCTTCCAGCCAACAGTTCACATAGCTGAATTTCCATGGTGTTGGCCCTTTCCCGCCCCCAGTATCTTTTCCTTGAGTTTTCTTCATCCACCTCCAGCCTAAATAGAGGCTACCATGCCCAGGGACTAGTGGGCATTGGAAGGGCTGGATGTTCCCCCATCCTGTAAATACTCCTACTTCTTGATGCTCCGTTCTGCTTACTTTCTCCCTGAGAGGCTGGGGTGGGCCCAGGGCTCAGCATTTCCAACAAGCCCACCACTCCCCTTATAGACTCAGATGCAAGGTGCCCAAGGACTCCAGTTTGAGAAGTGCTATCCTCCTCTCTCTCCTTGAAGACCAGGTGCTGTGTGCCCTATACTAGCAACTGCGTATTCCTGTGGATTGCCTGCCCAACACTGGCCCTTCTGCTCCCTTCAGCCACCTTCCATGGGAACACGCCTGGCTCTGGAATGCCCCTTTCCTAAATCGCAGCCACAGTGACTCGAACCTTGAGTTTCTCTCCATCACCTCCACCTTCCCCGTCTTCTGCCTAAGACCTCTTGAGCCCTCTGCTCATTTCTTCAACTATTCACTGAGTGACAACTCTGTGCCAAGCATGTGTCACCGGAGATACAGCCCAGAATTGCAGAGACACCATCCTGCACAGACCTCACCATTGGCCTCTGCTTCCCTTCTCTCTGCCAGCTCCCTCCTACCTTCTCTTCCCTGCACACCCTTCTCCCCAGCCTAGAGCCACAGCCCCCACTCCATCGCTCGCCTGCTAATATACCAGCACTCTGTGCTTCTCTCCTACCTGACAGAAGCCAACGCTGGGCGACCCACCTCCCTGCCTTCTCTGTGCCCCCACATGGGGCGGGAGCTAGCTGGTAGGGGGCCTCACACAGCGGCTGGGCTGGAACCACAGGGCCATTCTCTCAACCTCGGCCAGGCTCTCGTTTCCCACCTGGGAAATTCTCATGTGTGGCCCTACTCATCTTTCTTCCTTCTCATAGACGAGTATTTCGGACTTTCTCCACAAGCCTCCAATAAGCTCGAGTCACTCCCACATCAAAAATGAAAACAACCCTGGCAACTACCCAGATTCCCATCCACAGATAATGGAACCCCATACAGCAAAAAGAATAGACAACGTATAACCACACATAACACTGTGGGTGAATCCTACATAAAGAAGCAAGACCGCAACAGAGGACGTGTGTAGGGTTCCCTTGATATGAAGTTCAAAAACAGACAGAACTCATCTATGGTAACATTAGTCCGAATACTAGTTACCCTTTGGGAGTCGTAGCCAGAAGGGGACACAAGGGGGCTTCCAGGGTGCTGGCAGTGTTCTCTATTTTCTAACCTGGGTTCTATGTGCTGATCCTATGTGGGTGTGTTCCCTTGTAAAACATGGACACTTAGGACACTTAGGACATGCCTCCCCCTCTTTAGCTGTATTTTAATATAAAGTTGACTGTAATAACTCCACAATGAAATGACCCCTCTGTGGACCCCACGTCTCTTTCCAGCGACCCCACCCATCGCTCCATTTCACCTTTTCAGAGTCCAATTTCTTGAAGAGATGTTTACCTCAATTTCCTTTCTGCCACCAGCCAGTTCTCTTCCCACCCCCGTCCACCTTCCACACCCACCACTCCCTGACTGGTCAGTGACCTCCCTGTTGCTGAATCCAGTGTCCAAGGCTTAGTCCTTATCATGCTTGATCTCAGTAAAGCTTTCCACTCTGGAGCTCTCTTCCTCTCCTTTGAACCCTTCCTTCCCTTGAATTTCAAGAGGCAACAACATGCTTCTGGTTTTCCACCCACCCCCACCCCCCGGCTCTGCATCTTATTTTCCCACAGGAGATCCGTCTTTCTCATCATCCCGGAAGGGCCTCGTCCTCCTCACTCTTGGGCTGTGTACATCTCCCACACCTCAATGCCATCTAAATGTTGCCAGCTTCCTTATCTCTTCCTTGCCCCAACGGCTCTTCCGAGCACCAGGCCTCTATATCCAACTGCCTGCTTGTAGCCTCCCCGGAAGCTGAGTGACAATGCAGAGTGGGCTGTGGGCATGCGCTGAGTTTAAGTCCCCTTCTCAAACCTGACTGTCAACCTCCCTGTGACAGCCCCACCACCTCTTAACCCAGTTGTTCAACACAGAAACTAGGAGTCATCTGGGACGACTCTGTCTCCGCTATCCCCACATCCACTCAGCCGCCCACTTCTGCCATCTCTGGAATCTGCCCCCTCATCTCTACCCCCATGGTTAGAATTCGGGTCCAAGCTGTCACCAGCTCTCACCTAGAACCCTACTGCAACTTCCTAACGGGTTCCCTGTCTCCACAGTAATCCACAATGACTCATTCTTTTTTTTTTTTTTTTTCCTTAAGGGTATCCAGCTTTATTTTACGTGGTTGCCTACATTTTTTTTTAATACGCTCTGTGCCCAATGTGGGGCTTGAACTCAAGACCCCAAGATCAAGAGCTGCATGCTCTACTGAGCTAAAGGCACCCCCTGCATTATTTATTCAATAACAACATTGCTCTTCTTACAATTCCAGTCATCTGACAACGCCAAAAACCGTGCTTTGTCAAGTGCTTCCTATAGGCCAGGCCCTGCACTTAATTAACAAACATCATCTTATTTAATTCTAGTAACAGTCCTAACAGCGGTAATTCCTTTTAGTCCCATCTTGCAGATGAGAAACCTAACTGGCTGTGTGACCTTGAGCATGACATTTCTTAACCTTTTTGGGCTTCAGATACACCTCTGTTAAATGAGCATAACGACAATGACTGCCTCCCGGGGCTGCTGGGAGTCTGAAATGAGCTACTTCTCTCTCTAGGGAGTGTTTGGGGAAGAGAAAATTGAACGTGGGGTCGGGAAGTTGGGGTGGACACACTGCCACATTTTAAGCACGTGACAAATATTAACTACTGTTATTAATAATTGTTAATCTGGGGGCGCCTGGGTGGCTCAGTGGGTTAAGCCTCTGCCTTCAGCTCAGGTCATGATCCCAGGGTCCTGGGATCGAGCCCCGCATCGGGCTCTCTGCTCTGCAGGGAGCCTGCCTCCACCTCTCTCTCTCTGCCTGCCTCTCTGCCTACTTGTGATCTCTGTCTGTCAAATAAATAAATAAAATCTTAAAAAAAAAAAAAAAGAATGGAGAATCCTTTAAAAAAAAAAAAATTGTTAATCTGCCCAAGATTACACAGCTGGTAAGTGGTAGGGCCAGGATTCAAATCCAGCCAGTCGGACCCCAGGCCTCTAAGTCTTTAACATCCCTCTCTCTGACTCTTGTGAAACATCCATGGGTGACCCCCTACCCCAGGGATAAAGTCTAGATTCTCTGACATGACCCCCACCACCCTTCAGGCTCTGTGCCTCCCTTCATATACCTTCAACCTGTCCTCCACTCAGTCTCCTGTTCCTCTCACAGTCTCTGTTCCAGCTACCGTGGCCCTCCCAATACCGCAAGGCTCTTCAGCCTTTGAGCAGTGGCTGCCTTTGCTCCTGTACCCTCCTCCCATACTCTCCGCCTGAACAACTCCCTCTTTTTTTTCAAGTCTTACCCTATGACTTCTTCCTCCAGGAAGCCTGCCCTGGGTTGGTTCCCCCTTTCAGGCGCCTCATAGCTTC